GCAGGATATCGATGTTCCCATGCTTTACAACCCACTCGACCACTATAATACCTTGGAGGAGGTTGCAGCATTCGAGCTAAGATTGAGGAGAACTCCTGCACTTAGCAGTACTCACATGGCTGTCAGGGACATGTTTGAACATGGCCCCGACGGTGCACCAATTGAGGTCTCGAATTACACACGGGGGAATATGATTCCTTTTTCTTTGCCGGTGTGCTTGATATGCATGCAGAGTCACTGGAGGGTCCTGAAAAAGAACACCCCACATGGTCAGCTGTATCGTTTGGACAATTCGGGGATATTGAGCTGTGGGCACGGCCCTTGGCACCGCTCTTGCCTCCGCCAAATGAGTCGGGCTGCTGATGGTGACTTGAGATGCCCGATTTGCCGGCAATTGATTGATCAATCGTTTGCACAAGCAATAAGACAACAGGGGGGCCACCCATTGCCGCAGCACCATGTGCACATTAACCGCCGCTCTGCCAGAATAATGGCAGCTTCGCCAGGCCGTGAGGCGAATTCGGCGGTAGCTTCTGTTCCGGCTACTGTAAATGAGGAACCTGAGCCTCCTGTAGTTCCGGAAGCACCAGAGGCTCCTGTAGTTCCGGAAGCAGCATCGGCTCCTGTAGTTCCGGAAGCAGCAGATGTTAATGTAAATTCAGCAGATCGAGCACCAAATGATGATGCCCCAGATGGGGATGGGCCGCCTGTGGAAGCCGAGAGAGACTAGTAAAAGCTCTAATCCTTTGAGCCGAAAACTTATAAACCCCGAAACCTTTACGGTTTAAGGTTTAGACTTAGGGTTTAGACTTTAGGGTGTAGGGTTCAGGGTCTGGGGGCTAGGGTTTAGGGTTTAGGGTTCAAACCCCTAAAACCTTAAACCCTAAACCCTTAAAACCTGATTTAGGCTTTAGGGTCTTGGGTTTTGGGTTTATAACCCTAAACCATAAACCCTTAAATACCCCTAAAACCTTAAACCCTAAACCCCTAAACCCTTAAAGACTGACTCGGTTAGAGGCATGGTTCAGCCAAGGTGGTTGTCCGACGGAGGCATAGCAGGAAGTCTCCCCCGGCGACCACATGAGTGCTCTATTTTGCTGACCATTGCATAAAGTAATTGGTCGATGCTTGCATTCCTTTCGGCCTGCACTGTTTCCTTTCACCTGCACCAGAGGCTGTCTCGAGTGGCCCGGCAAAAAAGAATCAGACCGAGATGCTAGACTGAGTGCTGTATGTTTCTGTTGCAGCCTGGACTAGGGCACGTGGACTGTGGGCCCAGGACAATCGGGCAGTGGGTAAGTGGGAGGGTGCCCGGGGGACCCGCAAAGGGTCCTGCAAAGGTATCGGTGGGTCAGTGCAAGTGCCCGGCCGAACCGCACAGGGCCCTCAAAGGTCCCTGTGAATTGCAGATAGAATTCTGCTGTGCATCCAAAATGCAACCGAATTGGAAAACCTCATATGTTCTCATGTCCGGGTCCCTCTTATTTTGGAAGAGGGGGACCCTTTTCTCCGGGTCCCCCTCTTCCAAATAAAACCAGACCCTACCCTAAACCCTACCCACCCCAAACCCCCACCCCACACCCGATATCCAGACCACCAACCCACCCCAAACCATGTTTTGTCTTTTTTTAAGTTAGGGACACTTTCCTCCCTACCCCAATCCACCTGCGGCCTGCTGATCAGTCAAGGCAATCCATGCCGGCATATAGAAGTTTTGCTCGAGCAAGTATATGTATCCCACCGCCATGGCTTCCCTCAAGGAGCAGGACATGAAGATTGAAGACGAAGAAGAGCTGGATGACCTTGCAAAGCAGCTTGAGAAGCTCCAAGTGGGTGACGTTGGGAAGGAAAATCGCCCCAAGGTGAAGGCCGAAGTGACTGCCGAAGTGACTGAGACCGAGCAGCTAAAAGAGCTGGCAAATCTCCTGAACCGCCCGGCGCGAGAAGTGGCAGGAATTTGGTCGGTCGCGAAAGAGTCGGGCTACTGTTTGCACTGCTCCAGGTGTTGCCTTGTGGATTTCCTTTCTTCAAAGGAACTCCAAAGATATGATTCCTTGTGGCATCCGAACTACGAATGCAGCTGCGAGTTGTAATTAGGTGCACATACAGGAGATCCGCAGAGAAAAAGCTACTGCATGTGAGCGGATGCACCCGACAACCCCACCCCAAACCATGTTTTGTCGTTCTTGATTTACATCTGAGGAAGGTGGCGACTGGCCCGGGAAGCAAAGATGCCAAGTTGAAGTTGTTGAACCTCTTCCTGACTGAGGAGATCAAGTCCCCGAGTTTCGCAGACGCCTTCGTTACCTTTGGCCTGAACAAAGGCAACAAAACGGAGGCCACCTGGAAGCCCTACAAGTACATGGTGGACTACTACGGCCGGGCAGAGTTCATGCGACGCCTGCAGAATGGAACCATCCAGTCCCGCAAAGATGGAAACGAATGGGAGTTTCGATTGGTGACGAAGACCGAATACGAGGACAAGCAGACGAAGATGGGGCTCACTGCCAGGAACGGGCACAAGATCAACGACAAAGCCATGCTGGAAGATGTGATCAACGAGGATCCGGATGTCTCCCAGTTCTTCAAAGGGCAAGAGTCAAGGCAGGATCCAGGCCTCATCCAATTCCTTGAGCAGAAGGGGGCCTTGAAGAAAGGAAGGACCCGTGGTCTGGATGCCGCCGATCCGCACCATGATGGCGACCAGGAAATGGTTGATGTTGGGGACAAGCTGTCGGCTTTGACCGCCAACTCTGGTCAGAAGCCCAAGGAGCTCTTGAAGAAGGCTTTGGTCTTGCTACAGGGCCTCCTCAAGAAGCCGGAGAAGTCGGACAATGCCCGTGTCATCATCAGGCACCACATCCACACCCTGGAGGAGATTTCCCGTACCAAGGGCACGAAGGTTGAAGAAGTGAAGGATGCACTGCTCAAAGCAATGCAGGCCATCAAGACGGTTTAAGCGGCTATAGTTGATCCGATCCGATCTGCAGAAGACTGGGAGTTTTGGGAAGCTGTCTTCCCTGTCTTCACCTGTCGCTACGGAGCGACTTCGCCACTACGTTCGCCTGAAAGCCAAAATGTAGGCATGCTTGGCTGTTGACCGCAGCATAGTGCAGGTGTGTACTTTTGCATGTAGGCAGAAGTAGAGCTGATCTGCCCACACGTCTTGGAATTCTCGCAGCACTTGAGAGGCTTTGAAGTGTCCCTTCCTGGG